AAGCAAATCCAGTCCAATTCAGACCTTCAAGAATGCCTGTGTCAAAGTTTTGCTGGCATCTACATGTAAGTTAAGAAACATTTTTTTCTTACATTTTATATCTTTAGTCTAATACCAAGCACATTAAAAAAAAAAAAGAAAAAGAAAAAAGCATCAAAAAATAAAGCCTTCCACCGATTTCACCTGGAATTTGATCAACCACAGTGCCTATTCAACATGACTGTGTAGTACTATCCACAATTCTAAGACCATAAAAATTCAAAGTAGCAGGGGAGTTTCTCTCTATGAAGGCTGGTGAACACAACCATACGTACATAAAAGGCTTTGGGGTTTTGCCTATGAAGTTATTCTTCTGAAAGATTTTTTTTTTTAATAACTAGATTTTGTATCCTGTATCAAAGAATGCTTTATATCTTAGTTTTAAAGGGCTTAAACCTTGATCATATTACCTGTCAGTAAGTTCTATAGCCAAGTATCAAGCACTAACAGGTCCCTCCCCTCCATACATTCAGAAGACTTCACTATAAATGGAGGATCTGACAAAATCAAGATTTAACTATCTGAAATCAAAGGCACCAGAGCACAGGCATCTACTCTACTTCTTCCCAATTTCAGAAGTATTTCACCTTCAGATTTACAGCTACTGATGCCTACTACTTCCCACTTTCCTGCTATGGCAATGTGTGTTCTTCACATATACAAATTTAGCAAAGTTTTCATAGGAAAATGATCCATTTTGATAAATGAAAAATTTGTGAGTATAAATGTAAAATATTTTTAGGATCAAGAATATCACAGATTTTTTTAGTTGATTAGAAGTTTGTTTTCTACCAAGAAAAGCATCTTAAAATCCATTTAGAGTTCAAAATTAATACTAGAAAAAATAATCCATAAATATTACTTGCCCTGTGGTTTTAAGTTCATGCTTGTCTTCCAGACTTCTGGAAAAATATACAAATAGCCCATAACATATAATACATCAGTTGAATATCAAGCTTCACTTCCCTGATGCCTACCTTATATCCAAGAATCTGAAATCAGAAGAAATGAGCCAGTAACCCAAACAGTGAAATCAGTATGTTAAAACTCACTGAGTGTATTTACATATTATTAAATCTACACCATCAACAGTCCAGAAACAATTAAATTTTCAAGTGCCCATACAAACTCAGCACAGCTTTTCTATGTATATAAATTATAATACTGTTTTCAACTCCTTTATTATAACTTCTCCAGCATTCAGTGAACGTAACCATAGTTCTGGCTGTTTGGCTGGTTTATCAATACATCTTTTCACACTTACCTTAAAATTATGGTCATACTAGACACACACAGTATGTCTAATAAGTATAACTTACATTTTAATCTTAAAATGAGTACAGACTTGATTCTTTGATGAGCATTTCTCAATTCGATAGTATCACTCATACCACTCAAATTGGCTTTTATTTGTGTGTCCCCCATAAAGACCTTGGGGTGAGCAGGATTATTCCCATATTGTATATATAAAAAAAATATAAGTCCCAAATACTGCTATGCTTCCAGTGTCCAATTTTTTCAAGAGTGCATGGTATACAGTTAACCATTTTGTCATGCAGAGGGAGGCCTTCATGGATTTGAGCAGCACTTACAAATACTAAGCATTTAAACAAACGAAACTGTTTCTGAAGCTGGAAGCCCAAAAAATGAGAAACATGTCACTACAGAACACATTGTTCTAGGGTCAGGTGACTAGTCCACAGTTAAGTAGAAATTTCAGCAGAAATTAGTTTTCCAGTGACGTTTCATAATCAGCCATTCTTTTCTCCTTCCATAATCTTCTACATTTTCATTATGTTTTCCAAATTCAGCAATATTTAAGTGCTTCATGATACAATTTTGACTCTTCACCCAAACTAAATGATCCATCCTTCACAATATATGAGGCAAAATACACCTTGAAAACTAGCATACAATAAAGTATATATATATATATATATAAAAAAGGAAAAATACTTCTATCATGGACAACACTAATCTGCATTTTCAAGCTTCTAAATGTTTTAATTTGGTTATGAACTTCCATTCTGGGTTGTTTTGGTTTTGGGTTTGTTTTGTTTTGGTTTTTTCCCAAAGAAGGAATCTGCAGAAATACAGCTGTCCTACTTTAATAAGCCTCCAATGAGCAGACAGAATTTTGTGTTTCTCCCTTCCCTCCTGTAGGTTTCTCTCTTGCTAAAAATCTTACAGCAACAGCAGAAATTTAACAACCAGATTATTTATCTTCCAATTTTTGTGTCTGGCTCCAAAAGGAAGACACTAAACACTCTTCTCAAAGTTTATACGTAAAGCAGTCAATCTCCTCCTAAACTCACTCTGAAAAATGAAACGGATTAAAATATTTATTAAAAACCACAAATTCTTAAAAAACAAACTAAAACAACTTCCCTACAAACAAAAAACAGATACCTAACAAAGGCCTGACATTAAATAATTACAGAAGGCATATGCAATCTTGACTAAATACTGGTATTTGTATTCAAGCTTAATTATTCCTGTAACTTATTTTTCCATTTTAGTAACATTCTGCAGATTCGTCCTTCCTTATCCTGTGCTACATCTTGGTTTAACCCCAGTTGGCAACGAAGCCTGATACAGCTGCTTGCTCACTTCCCCCTCCAGTGGGATGAGGGAGAGAATAGGAAGGGTAAAAGTGGGAAAGCTTGTGGGTTAAGACAAAGACAGTTTAATAGGGAAAGCAAAAGTCTAACGCACAAATGACGCAAGACAAGGAATTCATTCACCACTTCTCATTGGCAGGCAGGTGCTCAGCCATCTCCAGGAAAGCAGGGCTCCAACATGCATATTGGTGACTCAGAAAGACAAAACGCCATTGCTTTGAACGTTCCCCCTTCCTTCTTCTTCCCTCAACTTTAAATGCTGAGTATGACGTCATATGGTATGGGGTATCCCTTTGATCAGTTGGGGTCAGCAGTCCCAGTTGTGTCCCCTGCCAATTTTTGTGCACCTCCAGCCTGTTCACTGGTGAGGTGGGGTAAGAAGCTGAAAAGTCCTTGGCTCTGTGTAAGTGCTGCTCAGCAATTAACTGAAACATCCCTGCATTATCAATGCTGTTTGCAACACAAACCCCAAAACATTGCCCTCTACCAGCTACTATGATGAAAATTAACTCTATTCCAGCCAAAACCATCACACCATAAATTACAAACTTTATCCTTCTCCTTGTCACTCTTTATACGTAAACAGTATTATATGTTCACAACTTCCATTTCACTGAGGTAGTAAGCATCAGAAATACTTGTGTTATGCATGAAAATGGATCTAACCCCAGCCACAAGGGTTTATTGAAAACTAAGGATCTTTTTTCCATTATTAAGCCTGCCAGAAAAACATATGTAGCAAGTTAACACAAACCATTTCATGCACAAGTTCTATTTATAAAACAATTCTACCCTTGCTATCCAGAATAATATATACTTTGTCATCATAGATACAAGTACTGCTTTCTCTCAGACAATGAAATGAAAAACAAGAGATGGCATCTTCTTTGCCACATAATACACATGACAAAGTTTTATAACTCAAAAATTGCCAAGTTAGGAAGAGAACTTAATGTACATTAGATGCAACTATGTATAACTAAACTAATCAACCACAGAACATGCCTCTGAAGTTTACCAAGCTTATTCTTTCAGGAAAAATAGAAAAGGAGGTATTTTAAATCTAGAATTCAGGAGATCACTAAGGTCTAAAAAAGCCCAAAACAAAATACAACTCTTAATTTGTATTTCCTACTCAATGTGGTATTCACCTTTTCTTGTTTACCAGAAGAAAAACAACAACAAAAAAATCTTTTCCTCTTCTAAAAATTCAAATGAAATGGGAACTATTTCATCATGCTTTGAAGAAGCCTTTGTATTAAGTGTACGGTTTGTAATCTTCAATCATATAATACCTCTGAAAAAAATACCCCAATTCTCTATGCAGCAGCACATATCATTTAGGGCAAAAAAAGCACTTTTTCTTCAAATCTCATCACATTATTTCACCAAGATAGTTTCAGACTGCTGAACTTTCTGAAAAATTACTTTAGGAACCCATCAATAGCTCAAAATAAAACTATTTTGGAATCATAAATCCTCTTGCCTCCCTCACTTATTCTGTACTCATAATGAGAGAGAAATGCTGTATTTTTAAATTGAAACCATTAAAATCAATGTTGGCTAACTGAACAAGTTGCCAAGCTGAGATAAATTGACATTTCCCATACAGATTAAATGAAGCAAACCCATTTTAACTTCTATGTTACAAAACATATATGAGAAGAATCAGAAGGCTACAGTCTTAATAATCTGCATAGGAACTAAGGATTTTATCAAAAGTACTTCTAAGGTGCAATAAAGATGACATTTGTTACACATTTAAAATTAGAATTGTTTTTAAATAAAACAAACATACACATTATAATACAGTTTTGCAAAAATGTAGTATTCTTCAGATAGCTGTACTTTTTTAGCTCTTCGGAAAGTATACCGTTAAAGTGACACAACAAATGATATACTTCTAATATGCTTCCATTTTTAAGTGTTTCACAACATTTGATGAAAAGCTGCCCACCTCTCATGGTTTATCAGATTATCTCAGAACACTAAAATGAAAAGTAACTTCCTGTGTAATCTTTTAAAAGTATTAACAATAGTATAGATATCATACATATGTCTCTATTTTATATATTAGTTGGTATTCCCAGTAATCACAAAATTTTAAGTTTCACTTATTAAATTCAGAAATTAATTTGAACAGTCAAACACAGTGATGGTTAGCTACACGTCAGAGATGTTCTCATTCTTCAAAAGCACTCCAAGAGGAGAAACCAGAAAAATAGGATCAATATCTAGTAGAGAAACCATCACTGTACATAATGAATAATAAAAGTAGTAAATAGTAACTAAAAAGCATGATTTCTACACTAATAACAAGTGCAGTTACCTTCACCATACCTTTATCTGCTGTCTTCTGAGCATTGCAAGTTCCCTCATATCCCGGAATGGCTGTAGTAAGTATTGGTAGAGCTCTGTGGTAGCTTCTGCAAGACTACTGTAAGCTTCATCTTCCATTTGATACAGTTCGAGCAGCTCTACCATGCTTTCCGTGTTCTTATGTTTTTCCAGAAGCTGTAGAAAAAGTAGAATGTTAGTGAGTGTATTCAAACGTTCTTGCTAAAAGTGACAGTCTTTTAAAAAACATTTTTTACCCAATCCTCTTGTGTTACCCTCCGCCACAAAATCATCACTCAGACAAACAAACAAACAAAATCTTAATCTCCACCCATGTCTTGAATTTAGCCGATTGAGTTATAAGCACATAATAAATAATAAATCACATAATAAATCTGATTACTTTAATTCAAAATGTGCAGCACTCCTACTGACTTCTTCTTTCCAAAATTCTCCTGAAGGTAATGAATATGACCACAAAAACAGCACAAAAAGCAACTTAGTACAACCATCTATAATGTAGTAATCAGACACGCTAGTTCACACATTTCCCACTTTCAGGTGCTGGGAGAGTGAAGGGGTGAAGGGAGACGAGTGATAGGAAAGAAGACAAAGGAGAAGTCTCCTTTTGATCTTTCTAGGTTTTTTGGTGTTTGGGTTTGTTTGAGGTTTTTTGCCTGTCTGTGCTTTAAACCCACACAGCCCCATTATAACAGTGCAGCTCCACACACAGAGAAGACTCTGTATGAAACAAAACTGTTTTCTGCATTTCTGGTAATTTTGCCTTCCAGTTCATGATTTTAGCCTAAACAGTTTAGGCATGAAACTTCAAAAGCATAAAATTTCTATTAGATTTTATTTTCAAACAGGAAATTATCTAAGTATTATAAGCTTAAAAAAAAAAAATACTTTAAAAAAATCACTTATATTTCAATTCCTATAAGGAAATACAACATCAGAGTCTGTCCATTCCTTCTTTTAGTTCTTATGAAGTTGAAAATTCATGTTTATACAAAGTTGCTACAATGTATAATTTTAATTTGTATACTTCTTTTGCATTTATTTTGGGCATTTACCTGGGCAGACCTCACATGATGCTGGGAAGTTTCTACCATTTCTAAAAAAACATTCAACAGTTTAACAAAAACTAATCTCATACAGATGTGTGGAGTACTTGATATATTTACAAAAACAAGATTATCTGAAATTAATTCCCCTCTTACGTAATTTTCAAAGTCAAAGAATCTTGTCCTGTATATTATCATCTCAAAAGCATATATTCACAGTCCAAGTTCAAATAAATTTAAGAGAGATTAGGAATGCTACAGACTAAGCACATCATATCTTCTATCTGTTCATTCAGGTTAGATGCCAAGCATATATTAAATATTCTCAATATACTCAACTGCATTAAGTATTGTAACTGGAAGACAAAATAGAGGGCACTACAGATTAGAAATTGAAGCTTTGGTCAACAGTTCTTTGGTGTCTGGTTCATTTATATGCTAGGACAGTCAAAAGAAATCTTGATTACCGTACAGTCTACTCAGTTTGCTCCATTACATTTATATACTAGGCTGTGTTTCAGTTACCTGACTGGATAAGGAAAATCTTCTCTTTCTTCATAACGGTAAGTTTGCTTCTGAAGATCCCCTTAACCCCACCTAGACTTCCTCTGAAGCACTAAAGATCATCCAAGATTAGAGAAAGCATGCAAGGCAGAATGCAGAGGGGCTCACAGTAGCTTTACTTACACGTTCACCATTAAAATAATGGTCAGACGACAAGCAAAAAAGAGCTTTCCCTCAGCAAGGCTTAGCAGAGATGGAAGGTTTGGGAGAGATGGTCTGGAACAGATGGGACCTTCCCTAGCAACACGAGGCAATTGTTTTATTACCTAAACAATTTTACCTAGGAAATTGTTCCTACTGCAACGCCATTTGCTATGCCCTTCTGCTCTCTTCCAGTGGCACATAAGGTTTTGTGGCATTTGAATTCTCACTGAGAGTACTGGATAGTCGTTTGTGGCTTGCAGTCTGTAAAACTGACATTTTATGAACCTCCAGGGTTAAATACACATAATATAACCTACAATTATAGGGACAGAAATCATCCCAGATGCTCTCGGGTTTGAGACCTAAGTCCCTGCAGATTTAATGTATTATTCCAACCCACTAGCTGTTTTAACCATCTCATCTATAAAGCCACCTTCTTCCTCAGCTCCTCTTTCTCATTGCTAGTACCTACAGAGTTGCCATACTCAAGCCTTCTCCTACTTCTCCCCAGCACTATCAGAAAATCCTCCTGCAGTCTCAAAGCTGTAATTATCCTTCTGTCAAGGTTCTGAAAAACCAAACCTTTGTTCTCAATGTACCCATTGCAAGAAGGGTCTCTACTATTAGTAGCGGTCCTACAGCACACTGCAATATTATTTTCCTTTTAGTTGTTTAGGCTATTAGTATCTTCTTATTAAATAAATTTACACCTTTGTTTCACCATGAAACCCTACTATTCTACTAGAATACAATTCTAAAGGACAACAAAAAATGACAAAAGTTAGAGAAAATTTATTACCATTTATAGGAGAATTTTAAGTAATCTTACGGCAGGAACAGAACAATACAATGCAGGGATTATTTTTTTTTTTTATTCACAGACTATTCTTAAGGCCTATTTAATAATTCTGATATTCTGGAAGACAGTCAGAACTTTACAGAAGTTAGAGAGAAAGTTCCAGGAAATGAAAGACCATTTCAATTTTATGACCATCAGCATAGTACAAAGCTATCTTAAAGACACTACAAGCAAGTATCTAATTATAATTAGTTGGTTGTTCAGTGAAAATCGTGTCCACTGGAAACAGTATGGGTAAAGTAATGAATTATCATTACATATTGGGATGCAGGGGATAAGTAAATGGGCATAGTTTCAAGGTCTTGTCCATGTCCAGTTCTACTTTGTCTGCTGCTGGGGTTCCCCCAATCCTAAATCTAATCCTCAATTCCTTCAGAAATACCAAATCCCAGTAAAAAAAATACAAGTGCGGGCAGTTTGTTCATACAGAATACAGACATTCTTAAATTATTAACACAAAGGTAAGCAACCATTCTTCCTTCCTAAGGCAATGATGCACAGGGAATATATTTCCTGTGCCTAATGATGACCTTTCTGAATGAAAACGATGTTAAAATTTCATTTAAACTACAGTTTCCAGAAATAACATAACAAAAAACAAAAACTAATTTGGAAATGAGAGTATCATCTTACTTGGTCTGGAGCAAAGACCAAAGAATTATTTAATAGGAGAATTCCTCAAAACAGGTCAGAAGGTTACCAACCAGTGAGCACTGGTTACATACAGCCTAATTACACCCATTCATTATAAACATTATTTACAGGCTTATTCAGAGAGTCTTTTGGTGAAAAACATCCGAATGTTAACCTTTTCTACAAAGGTTGCAAACCAGCACAAAAGAACACTGAAATTATTTTGTCCTGCTGCCTCAGATTTCACTTGGGTTAAAAAGTTTCATGAAAGAAGAAATTAAAGAAGTGTGAAAAAATCCGGTTTTGAAAAACACAGAAAAAATATTACATGCATTTGAAATTAGTTGCAAGTGCCCAGGTGGTGAAGAATGCCAACAGCATCCTGGCTTGTATCTGAAGTAGTGTGGCCAGCAGTATTACAGCAGTGACTGTGCCCCTGTGCTCAGCACTGGTAAGGCACCACCTCAAATCCTGTGTTCAGCTGGGGCCCCTCACTGCAAGAAAGACATTGAGGTGCTGGAGCGTGTCCAGAGAAGAGCAATGAAGCTGGTGAAGGGTCTAGAGCACAAGTCTTACAAGGAGCAGCTGAGGGAACTGGGGATGTTTAGTCTGTAGAAAAGGAAGCTAAGGGGAGACCTTATCACTCTCTACAATTGCCTGAAAGAAGGTCATGGTGAGGTGGTTATAGGTCTCTCCACCCAAGTAGCAAATGATAAGATGAGAGGAAACAGCCTCCAGTTGTACCACGGGAGGTTTAGATTGGATATTAGGAAAAAAAATCTTCACTGAAAGAGTTGTCAAACATTGGAACAGGCTGCTCAGGTCAGTGGTTGAGTCACCACCCATGGAGGTATTGAAAAGAAGTGTAGGTGTAGATCTTAGGGACATGGCTTAGTGGTGAACTTGGCAGTGTTAGAGAAGAGGTTGGACTTAATGACCTTAACAGTCTTTTCCAATCTAAATTATTCTGTGATTCTATATACACAGTTTAAAGGAATACAGACGGGTCAGACTTCTCTTTCACTTTCTGAAACTGATGTAACCACCAATCATCAAGTCTTCACAAATACAGTGTGGTATAAACAGAAGACTGATAGCATTGATCCTGCTTCTAGACCAAGCCTTATAAGCCTGATGAAGAGTCCAGGCCGCTTCATTGTCACCACTCCTAAAGGACTGACACAGAAGACAGATGGTGCTAAGCTGGTGGCACAGAGGACCTCTCCCACTTCACTCTATAAAGCAGGGCGATGCAAGCATTCCTGTTCTGGATTAAAGTCAGCTGAAGCATTTTTTAGCTGTCTATCACCCAGACAGTATCCTGACTATCAGATAACAATAACGCTGGGTCTAGCATAGAATCCACTGAATTAGTAATGTCATAAGGCAAACCAGGCCCTCAACAGATTCACAGATAGTTTAACTGTGTACATTCCAACTTTCACACAGGCAGTATCTATACAATACACTGTGTTTGTGTCCTGGGTTGAGTGAGTGGTGGAGTTTTTATCTGGTAGCAGGTGAGGGGCTATAGAGGCAGCCCCCTGTGAGAAGCTTCTCAAAGCTCCCCCAGCTCCAAGTCAGCTCCACCTCTGCACAAAAACTGAGCCAATCAGCTGCGCCTCTGCAATAATGTGTTTAAGAAGGGACGTGGTGAAGAGGAGTCAGACTTGTGAGGAGGAGTTGCTGCAGCTGCGTGAACACCAAGGTCAGTGGAGGAACTGAGGAAGAAAGGAGGGAGGAGGTATGCTGGAGCAGAGACCCTCCTGTATCCTGTGGGGAGACGGCAGGGTAGCACCCCCCTGCCACCCATGGAGATCTACGGTGGAACAGACATTGATTTGTGGCCTGTGGTTTCCACCTGGTTGATCAAGGTGCTGTGCCCGAAGAAGGCTGGGGTCTTGTGGGAA